GGAAGTGGGCGACGACATGTTGGGCACTCCATTTTTATATCCATCCATCTTTGTAAACATCCCGAGTGGAACATATGCTCACAAGGCGTTACCATGCAATCATTAACACGGTGTCTGAGATCAATCGTGGTCATGCAGATTACGCAGTCCCTGCTTCGGTTTACATCATGATCGAATCTTCTGTAATAGCTGTATTTCTCAGGTAGCATCTGCCAAAATCATAACTAAACACATGAACTCTTGATAAAGACACCTACGCAATTTACTATCGATCTAAAAAGGCATCAGAACCAACAAACAAACCTTCCGAGGGACAAAGCAACGAGACCCAAAATAGTGCTGAAGAAGAAGAACAGCAGCTTGAAACCCCACAAATGCACACAAGCCTATACACCAGGCCTTGCTGGGCTCTACACGCATGAAGTTCTTCGGGCATCCAAAAACATACAACGGTATAGCAAGTCGTGTAACAGTCATCCCCATGATATAATAAGGGTGCAGAGACTTTCGAGAATCACGAACTACGTTTGCAACTATCTGGGGAATCCAAAATGAGTACATGAGTAGGAGGATCGGCCGCATGTAGTTGTGGAACTCGTACATTATCAATATGCCTCCAAGAAGGAGTCCATCTGTTGAAAATCATTGCAATGAGAGAAACATCAAACATCTGCGAGAAATTTAAGCATTTACTTAATGAACAAGTACAAAAGAAATCAAATACTCACAGAAACGGCTGTACAGAAAGGAGAGCTCACGCCTCATTGTTTCCCAGCCCTCACCGCTGGTTGAAGGCCGGGTTGCTTTCCATATGGCCAGAAGATATCTCATTTCAAATATTGAAAACACTACAAATTTGAAGAACGCAGCTGTTGCAAACGCATTAAAAAGGGATTCTGCATAAAAATAAAGTAGAATGATTGAGAAAAGCATGACATCGCGAAATGTGCTTACACAGACTACGGTAATCTATGGAGATTACTATCAAAACAAAGACGAAACACATTGTAAAAAAGTTACAGGTTATATTGAACACACATACCAACTAAAATCCCAGCAGTGAGATGTAAAAGGCATAAATACGAATCCATGATGGCCTGTTGCCCGATCATTATTATAGCGACCTTTGCAGCACCCTTGTATACAAAAAGAGTTATCCCAAAGTTAGTTTTTTCTCTCCTTTTAGAAATATCAGATTAACAAAAACTGAGAATCTTACGGATTGTGTGTTACTGTGCTCCATTTGCCGGATCAACAGAAGAACCTGGAGGAACGAGACCTAAGTACAATAACAAGTTAAGGAATTTGCTAAAATTGCATTCATGTTTGTCATTCTGTGATGGAATGGGAGGAGGTTGGAACAAAGGATACAAAAGTGACCATCAATGTATAGTTCACAGCTTTGTTATAATAGACTTCAACATTTATGGAGGTCGCATTCAGCGACAAGGGAGAAAAACAATCTCCGTCATCATCTACTGCAGGACTTTCCATCAACCCTTCAATATGATAATGACCTTTATCCCCATCTACCAAAATTAGAAAAACTCTCTCAAGGTCAGACTAATTAAATTAAGGCGGCAAGAACTCAGCCAGCATCATCATTTCAACGTCAAATCTTAGAACGCAAGGCATACATACTGTTTTCATCAGAAACGGTTTGGGAAATTTGGGCTGCTATTTCGATATTGCAGTGCTTCTCCATCTCATACATTGGAGCTGGAATACAATACAAATAAAGGTCAGATGTAGCACAAGTGTAAAATATGGAAACAAATCCAGATCCTACTCACAAGTTTTCTTTTTCAATTTTCTGTCTCTTGGAGATTCTTGAAATACTTGGGAGGAAAATATTCCTAGCTGTCCAACAGAAGAAAAGTTAACACTGATAAGCTCTCCAACGCAAGGAAGAATCAGAAAATGATCCATCATCTTGGGGCAAAGTGGATTACATCAGGCATTACCAGATGATAGGGGTTGGAGAGAAGATAATCGTCTTCCAGTTCTGAATCACTCTTCTTTCCGCTGATCAATCATTAAAAATACTGACCTTAAGACAACCTAACCAATACGGAATCTTGAAAAGCAATAAATATATCAACAATGTAGTAATACCTGTTAGCAACAAGACGGAGCTGTCTAAAGGGCCAAATATATACACCTTCCACTTTAATTTGAGCACCACCCACATTGTGTTCATTGTCAAATACGTCATGGAAAACAACTGCACCCTGTTCCCATTCAAAGTTAACAAAAGTTCTGACTTTGCAAAGAATGAATTCACGATGCAGACTACTAACTAAGAGCTATTCACCTGAACGTAATGTACACCAGTTATTTTTGTTGGACTAGTCACTAACTCAATGACAGAGTTACCACTTTCTTTTCTGAAATCTGGAAACTTTGAAGAGCTATTTACAGTATCTAGAAACTTCCATGTGCCTGTAAACATACATCACGGAAATGAGCTCCAACATCATCATCATCCCTCAGCATAGGATAAAATACTGATCCAGAAGCAAAATCAAGAATGCAAATGTCACAAAAACCTCTATATGTTCCTGTTATATTCCAAGCAGAGAAGGGTCCTCCTGCTCCATTTTTTTCTTTTTTGCCAAAGAGCCACTGCAAAGGATCACAAAACAATCTCAAGTCAACGAAGACATTGAACAACAAACTAATCAAAGATGTAATTTTGAAAGCAATGATCAACAAATCAACACAAACCTCATCGCCCCAGGATCGAGCAGTCTCCCTAATGGGTCTCAATCCATTAGCTTGTTGCAAAAGGGGAAGCCAAATCGATAAGCAGAAGAACCCTAATCCCCAAACCCCCAAATTACTCAGCTTCTTCATATCAAAACCTCAAAATCTCGTGTGAAGGATTCATCAAGGACATTAAAGGACGATAAGATTATCAATCAAAATAAAAAGGAGGTTGCTTCAAGTGAAGTCAAACACAAGAAACGCAAAGACCAAATCGGCTGAAAGAGAAAGTGAGAGCCCAACAAACTGTGCCAATAGACAAGATTGATGTCTGCACCAAACCTCCCCGCAACTAGAAGAGATTATGACAGAGAAACAAACCAAACTCTGTTGTGTGTAAATTGGTATGGAAGAACAGCAAATTGACTTTGGAAATGGTGGTCCTTTGACTCTCTGCGATTCTTCGTTTAGGAGAAAAGTTGTAAACTTTTTTTTTTTTTATATGTTTTGGAGAGAACAAAACAAAAAGGTTGAAACTTGAGTCTTCGGGCTCTCTCTCTCTCTACTTTTTCTTCTGTTATGTAATATTTACAGCTCTTCTTATTTCCCCCAAAAAAAACATTTACTTATAATTTTTTTTTTTTAACTCAACATTTACTTATAATTTAAAAAATAAAATGATATATAGAATGAGATTTATGAATATGTAAATGTCAACTGTATAAATATATCATATTTCTAATAAATATTTTGTGTTGAATACGAAATAGATAAACAAAATGAAGACAACAAAACAATTCATTATTTATTTTAATTTTTGATTGTCGAAAACTCAAAACTAATAATATAGATACTTTCAAACATATTACTAAGAGATTGGTGAAAAGAAAAAAAAATGGTGAAAGTAAATAAATTCTAAATTAATGTAGGAAGAACCACATTTTTACTAAGAAAGAGGAAAACCATAATAATGTGTATATCAAATATTTGATGAACCAATGAGTGAGTGAGTAAGAATCAAACAAAACAAGAAACGATTATAGTATGTTTGTAACATAAAGTGAACCTAGAGTAACATTCATCACTCGATCCATTTGGATCAACATTGAAGAAGAAGAACATGAAGCTCTTAATGATCCTCATCATGATCTCGGTGGCTTTATTTTCAGAGCTGGTCCGATCTTCTGGACAGATGATCAAACGTGACGATGACCCGTTGAGTGGTGGAAAAGAAGAAATCATGAAAATGATGATGAGGTCAGGTTTTGATGTGATGAGCATCAGCCGTAGGATTCTTCATCATATCATCATCAAGGGTCGAAATATATAAGCTACGATGTATTGAACGAGAACTTACCAAAACCAGGCTAGCAACGTAGTGATCCAGATGGACGTGATCAGTTGATCACCCTTACCGAAGAGGTTGTACAGTCTTGTACTGTCTCTACTAATTGTCACGGCTTTACTGATTAAAACATGCATGAACGACCATTAACATTTTTGTCTTTTCTTTTGTTACGTACGTACGCCCTCATGTCTAAATGTGTTATTGTAATACGATAACGATAGAAATTAAAATCTCGATCGGTCTAATTTATAATGAAACGTGTTGATTACTAAATTATGGACTGTGTCATTTGGGGTACAAATTCATTCTAATTTATTTTTTCATCTCTTTGAATCAGTTTTACTTTTTTGTTTAGAGATTGTGTTCCTTATCACATGTAGATTAACGAATTAGAGAATTGGTTATACATTGTTAAGTTTTATTTTTAACTGCGGTCAATTTTATTTTGAATTTAATAGATAATTAATTGGATTTGCCCAAAAAAAGATAATTAATTGGATAGAATACGATTGGAGTTTGACTTATATTAATTCTAGAGTTAATTAGGCATATGACAGTTGAGAAATATAACAAATCAATGAATAAGTAATGATGTGACTTATTGCTATGAAATGGTGTTCAATTTTTATTATATAGATAATGATGTAATGCTGTATATTATTGAATGTACTTTAAGCTTGTGGTTGGGGCCAAAATTATAATAAAAAATCTTGAGGCTAATCATTGTCATTTGGACTAGGCCATTGGTTCGATTAGTTTAAGTCAAGTGCTTTTGAATCCTAGGTCCTAACGGTGCAACTCATCAACTGCATGATTTTAATATTACTTGTTCATGCTTTTAACATCTCTTAACTTAACTATGATCTCAAAGTGTACTATGAAAAAGTTTAACGTTAATTACTAATATACACATTCTATATTTTTAAAAAATCACAAATATATCTCATTTCTTTCTTGCACCAATGACCCAAACCAACCTTTTCACTATTTGCTACACAATGTCAAGTATCATCAGAACAGAGTCGCTGATGAGACCATGTTCCGGAGAACTTCAATCAGAAACTCATAATTAACAATATACTCACCCTACCTCCAATTAATAATTACAAGCCATCAACAAAAAAAATACAAAATATCACACAACAGTAAGAGCGGCCGGACCAGCAGAGAAACTACCTAAGAGACCATCATAGTTCAACATAGAAACCCTAGTCTTAGCCACCGGTACCCAATTCTCCGGCTCCATGGCCTCGGAAACCGCGGCTTCCAAGGAGCTTGATCGGTCGCAAGTGCTAAGCCACTTGGCTTGCATGTACTTGTGTTTTCTCCAAGGAGCCATATGCATTTTCTTGTCTCTCAAGCATCTTTTTGCCGCAATGCACAATATCTTGATCAGAGATCGAAGCCTCTCGGTTTTTCCGACGTAAACCTCAGGCAATCGGCTAACTAGTCTTTTGTACTCTTCACTGCCTTTTGCAATCTCGAACTCTGCCTTAAATGATAACTCTATCACCACTCTCATCTCCCCTTTCTTCGAACCCGATCGGTCTACGATCTCTATAAACTCGTGTTCCCCTGATTTTAACCACAACAAAAAATACATGAGTACTCATTCCAAAATATTCATAAATTTAATAAAATATAGTGCTGACAAAAATCAATATTTGCTTGACATATAAGTAACACAATAAAGAACGAGTCTAAAACAGATCTTTCGTGTTCTTTTGGACATAATCATCTTTGTCCAACTTTTAAAAAATAATTTTTATCTTAGATATTTCTTCTAATAAGAAATGAAAACGATGGGTGAATAATTCAAAACCAATCTTTTCTTTAATGAATAAAATAAATTTATGTGTGTTTATGATATTGATTTGTTACCTGCAGGGATGTCTTGAGAGCTTCTCCATTTAGATTTGGTGATAACACAATCGTAGCCGGCGACATCTCTGAGTTGTCTAGAAATCTCGCCACGTAAGCAGCTCCGGCAACCGCCGTCAACTGGTCGTCGGCAGACACAATAAAGACCTTTAGATTTAACTTGTTTCAAAGCTTCTTTTGTCGCTTGTCTAATCTTTGTCTCAATGGTACTTGTCCTATACAGTGTCCCCTACACAAATTTCCCCAAAATAAAAATTAAAAAACATATTTAGACACCAAATGATTCGGCTAAATATGGCAAAAAAATAATATTGTTTCAATAATTAATACTAATAGATTTTTATAATTTTTTGGAGAAGAATAAAAAATTACCTGAAGGAGTTGTTCTTGTTCTTGCCAAAAGGATTTGTTTTCTTCAGAATTACAATTGTTGTCTTCTTCGTCGTCGTCGTTGAGGTTACCGGAATAAGAGAAATCCTCCGGTGATTGGTTTCCTTCGTCGAGAAAACCAAAAAGAACATCGTCAGAGCTAGCCATTCCATCTAGAAACCTTATGATATCATCAGAATTTTGCCGATCCATTCTTTTTTTTTTTTGTTTTTCTAAAGAATATAGAGAGAGAACAAATAAATATTTTGGTTTTGGTTTTGTTTGAAAGAGTTTGGGAGAAAAATAGAAGAGAGTTATATTATATAGTGGTTGCGTTGGGGGGAGAGAATCAGAGGAACAGATACATGGCGCCGCGGATGATGACGTGTAGAGTTGTGATTGGAGGACGTGTCTGATCTTTGAGATGAATGATTGCTCAAGACAGCTAGTTTCCATGTCAGCATGACTAATCTCGTGAGAGAGCCTTCCCTTCCTACTCAGAACATATCCGAATATGCTCTTTTCCTATTTATTAAAGATTCTTTTCAAAACAAAAGTAGTAATAAATATGGATAATAATCAAAAGTTTTATCTACAAAGAAAAAAAAAAAGACAGTTCATTATGGAAAATCGGGGGAAAATAAATCTAATTTAGGAAATTAAAAATATTCTTTTAAATTGTCAAAAATAATTTTTTTGACTATAAATGTAATAAATTCATTAGATATCACAAAGTGTTGTGTTTGTGAGTAATTTTTTGTTTTTGGGTAATAGTTAAAGTGAATCCCACACATTATTCCGGTGGAATCTTTAATTTAAACCAGATTATGTGGATACAATTTTGTTAGTTTGCTCAAATAACATTGTTTAGTTATATATAAGAACTAATTATTCAACTAATTTGATAGGTAAAAACCACATGCTTCGACATGTGATTAACTTCATGGTCTAGGTCTAGACCGAGATTAAAAAGAAAAGGAAAAGAACAATAGTGAATGATTGATGTTAGTAGTATAATAAGTCTTAAAGCATAGGGGAAAAACATAGTATATAAGTATCCAAAAGTTGATAAATCAATCTCGGTGGTGTCTATCCCATCGAGTTGATTCTAACTTTTAGGCTAGGGAGACGTTTTTTTATAGTCACTGATTTGGTAAACTCTTCCACTCATTCAGTAACTATAGACTTGTGATCTGCAAATTAAGCAATTAGAGTCATACTAAGTAATTTCTCTACTTTAAAGCAAACCATTAGGCTTTGATAGTTGTAACTCCGACTGGATTAAGAAAAAGGGTTACCGAGAGTGTTTTTTTTTTTTCTTCTTTGTCCACTAATCGTACTTGTTTACTTCTCTTTGATCTCTCTAATCCATACTACTAATTAATATCGGAAAAATAGACCTGGATGTTCAAGTTCGGTTTGGGTATTTCGGGTTTTTGAGTTTAGAGAAATAGAACCCGTTCAGGTATTTTTAGATTTCGGGTTCGGATCGGATAGAACCCGTTCGAATTGAAAGAAATTATTCTATTTTGTTTGCATTCGGATTACCCAAAATCCAAAACATACAAAAATATGATTTTTTTTTACATTAGATTATTATAAATATAAATATTATTAATCAATTATTACTATATAATTATATTTTGGATGTATTTGGGTATCCGTTCGAGTTTCGGTTTAGGTCAAGTTCGGATTCGGGTTTTCAGGTTTAGAGATATAGAACCCGTTCGGATTTTTCTAGACTTCGGGTTTGGGCTTGGATCGGTTTTTCGGTTTCAGTGCTATGGTAACGGATTTGAGGATATGATGTTCATTTTGGCTCGATCAACGAAAGATGATGTTATAAAAATTAAGTCAACGACAAGTTTATGTTTTGAATGACCACATAGAAAATTTGTGGTTTAAATGACCTAAATTTGAAAATTCCTAAATTAAATGATATTTTTCCCAATTAATATCAATGTGTTTGTCTTTTATTTGTCATATTTTTGCACCTTGTTATCTTTAGTTTGATAGTAGTTATTATTAATTAAAATTGTTGATTTGTTTTTTAAAAAAAGTCATTGTGTTAGATTGAATGATAGTTTGATGATGATAATAGGAGAAGCTTTTTGAATGATAGTTTGATGATGATAATAGATGAAGTTATAGAGCTTAAAATGTGATCTCCTACTTACCAACTTACCCGATATGTTTATCGAACTTAACATTTTAATTAGCATTTCTCATATTTACTTAATTATTATGATTCTTATGTCTTACCATTCCATTACAAGTGCTTGGATTATGTACTTATGTATATTTCTTCAATGATAGTTGTTTCCAGTTGGTCATATACTGATTCATTTCCATAAACACATGACTTTTTACATCTAAAATCTGAACAACATTATTATTATTGTTTAGATGATATATTATGCTATAAAAATATTTCAAACAAAAAATTTGATTATATTATATAGCTTAAACTTCATTTAGGATAATGTTAACAACTTTATGTTGAACAAACTTTATGATGATTAAATTTTATGCCCATCTTATTATACCTATTCACGTCAAAGTCACACATTTATATTTTCTATTAAAAAGATCGTATGAATGATTAGTTAGCCCGATATTGAAATGTACACATATCATGTGATAGTTACTTGCATTTATGAATGATCAACACTCGATACAGACCTTGTCATTTTTGTTATTTGATCAAGTCTTCGAATATTTGACAAGCAAATTGAAATTGTAAGTGCCATATTATATTATTATGTAGGTCGATCAACAACAGATAAATTTTTAGTTTATTCATAGTCAAAGATTGTATATGTTTGTTTATTTTCCAAGTGATGTCTCTCCATCTAGTGTACTTAATCCCTTGAGATTAGTAATTATTCTGAGTTCTTAAGTTGATGAATGATGATGGCTACGATCGATCAAGTGTTCTTTCTTGGCCTATTGGATAATTGTTACATTAATTCACAAACCAAACTCCACTTTTTTTCCTTTTATGTGTGCCTCTCAGATTTAACCAATTTGAAGAATGATATATTTAACCAATTTGAAATTTTGAATAATGATCTATATATGACCTATGAACATATTTTTACGCTAGTAGCCAAAATTTATTCCAAAATATATATTAACTCTTTTTAGCTATAAAATATTATATTTTGGTAAAATGGTGCAAATTAAAATCGTGATTTGGTGATCTCTTCCATTCGATCAATAACTATAAACGTGCGATATTCAAAGCAATTAGTGCCATACAATGTTATTTTCCCTACTTTAAAACAAATCATTACATGCTCATTTTCATATATGTTCAAAACACTCACTATATACAATGGTGATCGTATCTCTTTATGAGGAGTTTGTGTGTGGGTGTTAATAATGAGAAAAAGGTAATTAATTAGAGGAACCATGGACAATACTAGAATGCTAATCATGCATGACAAACTTTACACTTTGAAAGTAGTTCTTCTGATGAAAATCCCATTAGATTATATATCAAAAATAAAACCATACGACATAACAATGATTTCTTTCTTTAATAATGTGAGAAAAACATTAAAGGGTCACCGACACACAACGTTTATCTTTGGTCCATTGTGCTCTTTTTACTTCTCTTATAGTATTAATGTTTTTATTTTATTTGTATCAATGATTTCTAATGAAATATATTGAAAGATCTAAGAATATTTATATACATGCTCTTTAAAAGATAGATAAAAAGGTAATTAAACAAGTGTAATTTATAAGTATTAGTTTTATGTGGGATTCACATGGTTGAACAACATTGATCAAAATCTAAAGAGAAAAAACAAATCACATGACTTGTGAGAATCTGAATCTTTAACTAATGACACTAAGCATGTGGTCTATTTTCATAAAGATTTATTTTTATTTTTTTCTAAATCTGAGACAAAGATTTTTAGTTGCATGAACATTTTCAACAACAAATACATACTTGCACTGACATTAATAACTGTTCATGATAATAATCTTGATGATAATTAAAGATATTCCTATGAGCTTACATACCCTGCATTAAATGGCTTACCACATTTTATTTTTCTTTCTTGTATCCAAATTACAATAACGTTAGATTAGTCAGAAGAAGACATGCGCATGGGGCTACATCTCGACTAGGACAAGAAACCTTTGAGAGATCAAATAAGTGGAAAAACTTACAATAATGAAAGCTCATGTATATAATTCATTCTCCCATACTCAAATATTTAACAACTCTCAATGTTAATTTGTAGCCTTAGACCTTAAAGTAAGTTACAAAGTATTGTGCATCCGTAATGCTTATCGTAACTCTCAGTCAATACCTCGTTCAATCATATTCAAGAACATTGATCGAGAAATCCGTAATTTCCATCACTTCAAGAAAACACCTGAAGCGGTCTTGTAACCTCATGCGTCTATGGATCCGATGAGTTATCACACCTTTAACCCAAAGCAAGCGTATTAATTGTAATCATGTTTTTGTTTTTCTTTGCCAAGATTTCTCTCAACTGTTGGTGAATACTCTTTTGTATCGTCTACACTTTTCATCTCTATGATATTAACATTCGTAGCAAAAAAAAAAAGATGAAACTACGGTTTTACCGTTGCAACATGACTTGTTGTTAGTTTACAACGTTTATATATATATTTTTTACAAGAAAGTTTTATATATTTCATTGTAAATTCAGTATTCTATAATACATTATTGCATTCGATGTTTTTTTTCTAATAGTAAATCAAAATAAATGAAAACAAAAGAAATGAGAAATTTAGGCAGATCTTGGTGGTGTGTGTAAAAGGGAAAGAAAGGTTAATGATACCAACGTGTCACCGTAAAAGCCCCCTTCCGAAATTAACGCATAGTTGTCCTCTCAGAGGACATCAAACTAAAGTAACTGCGTGAAACTGAAATCTCTTTCTTTCTTGCTATACCACCTTCTTCTTCTTCTTCCTCCTTCCTTCTCCTCACACCTCTCTTCTTGTCCAAACAAAACTTTTCTTTTGGGAAAATATCTATCTACATGTAAATTGTGAATGCTAGATCCTCAGGGACCTTAATAACCTTCGTGTTCCTTACTTGAATGTTCTTGAAGCACTGAGCGATATACAGATAGAGAGAGATCTGTGTTGTGTTGTGTTCAAGTTCACATTTTTGTGTTAAAAGGGGACATTTTTTATATTCTGGGCTGTTTTGTTGCGTTTCTTATAATAAAGTTATTTAAAAGGTGTAATCTTTCATCTGGGTTTCATCAAAAAAAAATTCGATTTTTTTCTGAGATTTTCTTCACCATTCTCCGAAACGTGGACACATTTTGATCTTTTGGGTTTCAATAAAAGTTGAAATTTTGATAGCATTTCTCACCAAAGGTGTCATTTTTATTTCCCATCTGAACGAGATTTGAGGAAACTGGCGAGATTACAATCGATTTTGAAATATCTGAAGCTAACAAGAGGAAGACGAGGAATGGCTCCTACTGGGAACGGGCCACTCATACCAATTCTAGGTTTCCTTACATGTGTGGCTTTTATCTATCTCTCCTTTGGAGATTTGTGGTTTGATTTCAAAAGGGAAGCCGATTTAGGAGGATTCGTGAAAAGGAACGGGACACAGTTCGTGGTCGATGGTAAGCCTCTGTATGTGAATGGCTGGAACTCTTATTGGTTCATGGACCATGCCGTCAACGATCATAGCAGACACCGTGTCGGTGCTATGCTTGAAGCTGGAGCCAAAATGGGTCTCACTGTTTGTAGAACATGGGCTTTCAATGATGGAGGTTACAATGCTCTTCAGATCTCTCCTGGCAGATTCGATGAACGAGTCTTCAAGGTATCTTTCGTTTCCTTGCTCTCATCAGTTTGAATATTTCTAGGAAGCTTCTGCATATTTTGTGGCAGAGCGTTACGGATCTTGTTTAGCAAGGTGGAAAAGTTCCACACTTTCATTTAAAGTTTGTATTTTTTTTTTGTCGACATTAGTCTTTGTTCAACTTATTTTAATCAGAATGTCAACGGAGATTATAAGATATAGACTAGGCCAATGTTAGTTATGAGATCCATTTACATCTCTTTTCATGATCAATTGATATGTTTCTTATAGCTTGGAATTGGAAGAATCTGCAGTTGCTTACTTCTTCCTGCATTTGTTATCGTTTGCAATGCATATTTCAAGGCTAATGGTTTCAGCATTTTACGCCTCCTTGTGCATTTCGTTGATGTTCACTTGTCCTGTTCTCTGTCTGATGCCTGGACAATGTTGATTTTCAGCCTCTTAGTGTGTACTGTCTCATTCTAAACTGATCTCTTCTCTCTCTCTCTTTGTCTTAATGAATTTTATATAACGTGTTCAGGCCTTGGATCATGTAATCGCAGAGGCAAAAACACATGGTGTTAGGTTGCTTCTTAGCTTAGTGAATAACTTACAAGCGTATGGAGGGAAGACTCAGTACGTCAACTGGGCATGGCAAGAAGGTGTAGGCCTCAGCTCGTCCAATGATTCCTTCTTCTTTGACCCATCTATTCGCAGATACTTCAAGAATTATCTCACGGTATGTTTTTAATCCTCATCTCTTCTTGATGTGAACATGGATGTATTAGTCTAGATCGTCATAGTTATACAACTAGATAACTGAATTCAGAAATACAAGAGATGCTACATTTGCCTTGGCTTTTCTTAGCTTATACAATCAGTCTAGATGTTCATATTGTAATTGATGTTAAGCTTAGCTCTCATTTCCATTTGCCAGGTGCTGCTCACCCGTAAAAACTCTTTAACTGGGATCGAGTACAGAAACGACCCTACAATTTTTGCATGGGAGTTGATAAACGAGCCTCGCTGCATGTCTGATATCTCTGGGGATACTCTACAAGTGAGTTTTCCTTCAGTATGGTGGTTTCTTGTCTAACATTGAACCATAAGTAGTTGTTGAAAAATTTAGTAATGCTACTCTTGTGGTTTTATTTTCTGGTATGTGAATTCAAAGGACTGGATTAATGAAATGACAGCGTTCATTAAATCAATTGACAACAAGCATCTTCTAACCGTAGGCTTGGAAGGGTTCTACGGTCCCAAGAGTCCAAAACGGTTGACAGTTAACCCAGAACGATGGGCCTCTGAGCTTGGTTCAGATTTTGTTCGAAACTCTGACTCGCCAAACATCGATTTTGCATCGGTTCATATCTACCCTGATCACTGGTAAGCATCTGTTAGAAAACTGTGTCAACAAATGTTTGGAATTCGTATTTGTAAAGACGAAGTTTGAAACCTTGGCAGGTTTCATGATCTGGGGTTCGAAGATAAACTCAAGTTTGTGGTGAAATGGATACTATCCCACATTGAAGACGGGGACAAGGAACTGAAGAAGCCTGTTCTGTTCACTGAGTTTGGGCTCTCAAATCTGAACAAGGACTATGATCCATCGCAGCGAGATCGGTTCTACAGAACCATCTTTGATATTATATACAAATCAGCCAAGCGGAGGCGGTCTGGTGCAGGAACACTCATGTGGCAGTTTTTGATAGAAGGCATGGAAGGGTTCAACGATGACTTTGGTATAGTCCCATGGGAACAAGATTCGATCCAGAGATTAATGATAGAACAATCTTGCAGATTGGGTCGGATCACTGGACGCCATCTTCAAGACAAGAAGTCCATAGAAATATGTTCCCAGAGACCATGAGAATGTATACAGTTTCTTTTTTTGTTCTTGCCCACATGAGTGGCATATATGCAAAGTGCAAACTCAAAATATTTTATACTAAAAGTAGTAAAGTTAACCTTCTTTTTTTTGGTTGATTGAGCTATGTATCCTCTTTTAAAGATGATTGAACCAAAAACCTACTTACAAATCAACAAACAGGAACATAACAATGCTTGTGTGTTTAATATGTGGTGGTATGGTTTACAGTGAATCTGTGGAGTGTAGAGCCTTCAAGTGAATGAGTTGGCCAGTCCCATCTCCATCCCCAGTATCATCAATGAGGTCTCATAGTCCCCTCTGAAACCTATGCATATCATATCACCTTTCTTTATCAAAGATGCTTCTTTCTCCACAAAGTCCGAAGCTTTGAATCAAAGTAACCGACTTTCAAATTTGAATACTGATCCTCTAACTTATTATTCATACCTAATTTGCCCCACTCATTTGTGGGCAAGTCATTCACAACACAAGCTAAAAAAGTTTGGAACTTTACAGATTTTCTCAGGAGGGTGAAGTGATGGCAACTCTTACTCACCGCCTCAATCTCATCCCCAAAGCTCAATCAAGAACCTTCACTTGTTCATTCATAACTGGTGAGCCAATTACGAATCTCAGATTTGATTGTGTCTCTAACTCATCGAAGCTTTCTCTCAAGTCATCATGTGGAAGGTCAAGAACCAATCACCGGAGGCAAAATTTCGGCATCCGATCTGTTTTTACGGGAATCGTGGAGGAAATGGGAGAAGTTAAGAACTTGGGAATGGCAGACCATGGAGGATTCGACCTCAAAATCGGGGCGAGAGTGGTTCTGGAGGACGTGAAGCTCGGTGACAGCATCGCGGTGAACGGGACGTGCTTAACGGTGACGGAGTTCAACGCAGAGGAGTTCACCGTCGGGTTAGCACCGGAGACGCTGCGAAAAACATCGCTGGAGGAGCTAGAGAAAGGGTCTCCGGTGAATCTGGAGCGTGCGTTGCAGCCAGTGAGCAGGATGGGTGGTCACGTGGTGCAGGGACACGTGGATGGGACGGGAGTGATCCAATCGATGGAGGTAGAGGGTGATTCCTTGTGGGTGAAGGTGAAAGCTGACAAGGGTTTGTTGAAATACATTGTGCCTAAGGGATTTGTGGCTGTTGATGGGACGAGCTTGACGGTGGTTGATGTGTCTGATGAAGAGAGCTGTTTCAATTTCATGTTGGTTGCTTATACGCAGCAGAATGTGGTGATTCCGACTAAGAAGGTTGGGCAGAAAGTGAACCTTGAGGTTGACATCATGGGTAAATATGTTGAGAGGCTTCTCACCAGTGGTGGCTTCTCCTTGAACACGTCAGAGGTAACTAGAAAACTCAAAGTTTATGTCTTTTTATTAGTAGGTTTGATTTGGAGGATAGTGGAGAACTGCATTTGGTGTTCTATGTGGGTTTCCTTTTATGATTTTAGTAGTAGATTTGATTTGGAGGAGAGTTGGGAATTGCATTTGGTGTTCTATTTGGGTGTCCTTCTATGATTTTATGAGATCTCTCTAGCCACTTGGCTCCTCTATTTTTGTGTAAGAACGTAGTGGTTTTGGTCTTCTTGTCTGGAATATGTGTTTTGGTTGTTCCCTAATTACTATGGTCAGCTAAATTGTTGGGAAGCTTGTTCCTTGTGTTGTGTGATTCAATTGGGGGCATTTCATTTGGTATTGTTTGGAGATCTTTGGTCGCTACCTGTCATCGGAACTTGAGCATCTTATAGTTGTTGAGCTAAGAGGCGTCTGTTGTATGGGTTGCAGGAAAAGAAGGTATGATGATTTGATGTGGACTTGGGAGAATTTGGTGGGCAAAGATTTGACCAATTGGCCTGGGGCTCTTTGTAAGATAGATCTTAATCTCTGTTTCTTTGTAATGAGGCTAGTGAACAATCCACGTACTTAGGCGCGGTGAGAATCATCGATGAACCTCATCGAGTACAATTCATTTATGTAATAAACCCAAGAATCAAATTGTGTAATATGGCATTTCCGGCTTTGAACTTAGATTCTATTTTGGTTCTTGCTAGGCCTTGATATGTATAATCTTTTTTGAGTATTTTGACGAGTAAATGGAAAAACGAGAGAAGTTTAATACATAACACCAAGATGCATATATAATGTGTTTTTTACCCATTGAACATGTTCTGAGATATGTTATTGAGACTTCACGACGACAAGAACAAAAGACAGAGAACAAGGAAGGTGGAAAAAACTGCGAGAGATGCAGTTGTGGAGGCTTGAGGGATAGAATCAGCAGTTGCGGATGCGGATTGGGCGACATCGGTGCAGTCGAGACCTTCTTTACCCTCTTTACACATGTTAGCAAAGATTCCAGGAGGATAACGACCGTAGATGTTGATGTAGCTGAACATAGTGGAGGCACAATCGCTCTTTTCGTCGTTAATAGCTTCTGCAAAAGGGCAAGCAAAGTCCTTGAAGGCGGAGCAACACACAGCTGCCGGATAATTTGGCCCTTTGCATTTGCTTGTTATGATTGTGTAGTTCTTGCTCGCAAAATCTTCTTTGCAGGCTGTTTCAATAGGAAGAAAAGAGAAGATGCATATTTGGATTAACGTGTCTAAACATTAGAATCAAGAATTGGGAGGGATGTTCTTTACTTGTCCTTGCCTGAAGAAGAGTTCTGCTTGTGGCCGTGTGAGGGCGATCAAATTCATCATCTGCAACATTCAAATCAATAACTTTGTTTATTTTATGTTTTTTCCAATGTAATGAAGATGAAAATAGAAAGAAAGAGAAATTAGAGGAGTAATTACATGAAAGGGAGAAACCAGAGAGGAGGAAAATGGGAAGAAGAGAAAGCAGACAGTAAGGAGAAATCTCCATTGTTGTTTCTCTCTTCCTCTCTTCTCTTCTCTTCTCTTTTTTGGTTTATTATTAATTTTTTCCATCAAGATTTTTAATTATTTCTGTAATTTCTGTTAATAATAATAATGCTTGTTTCTTTATTTGGTAAAATGAAAGTTGAAGGACGAGAGACATTTTCGGAGAATGTAAATGATAAAAAAACCATTGCAGCATCAGTTCATTACAGTAGTGTATCATTGAACCAAACCCATATTAAAACCCTAAAACGACGACGTATTGATACAACTAAATCAAATTCAGTATTCTTGATTCCTCTAAAACCCTTTACAACAAACTCGAGTCCAGAGTGAGATCAATAGAAGAAGTTTAATTCGTTACAAAATCAATCCAAATTTTGCAAATGTTAGACCTTTACTAAACCTTAGCTCTCTCTGTTTGAAATCTGTATCGTCGCCAAAGTATGAAGCATCTTCTTCGTCTTGCTAGTCCAAAGCCAAATTACACTCTCAGGAGCTTCCTTTTTCACTCCGGCAAGACCACACCCTCGCCGTTGGACCCTTACGACACTCTACAGCGTCGTGTCGCGAGAGCAGGAGATCCCTCTGCTTCCATTATCAGTGTATTGGCGGGATGGCTTGATCAGGGTAATCTGGTGAAGACTTCGGAGCTACATAGCATCATCAAGATGCTTCGCAAATTCAGCCGTTTCTCTCACGCTCTCCAGGTCTGGATTCCTCTGTTTTTCAATTTCAAAAGTTCATCTTTTGTTGTTACTGTGTGAATGATGATGATACGAATCCAAATCTTAAAAAAGGTATCTTTTTTTTTCTTGTTGTTGTTGTTATGTGTTCATGATGTTAGATATCGGATTGGATGAGTGAGCATAGAGTTAATGAGATCTCTGAGGGAGATGTTGCGATTCGGCTTGATTTGACTGCCAAAGTTGGTGGTTTGGGAGAAGCAGAGAAGCTTTTCGAAGCTATTCCTGTGGAGAGGAGGAACTACCATCTCTACGGTGCTCTCTTGAACTGCTACGCGAGCAAGAAGGTGTTGCACAAAGCTGAGCAAGTGTTTCAGGAGATGAAAGACCTTGGCTTCCTCAAAGGCTGTCTTCCCTACAATGTGATGCTAAATCTCTATGTTCGGACTGGGAAATACACAATGGTTGAGAAGTTGCTGCGTGAGATGGAGGATGGGACTGTCAAGCCCGACATCTTCACGGTGAACACGCGGTTACATGCCTATTCGGTTATATCTGATGTAGACGGGATGGAGAAGTTTCTGATGCGTTGTGAGGCTGACCCGGGACTCCATTTGGACTGGCGCACATACGCCGATGTAGCAAACGGCTACATAAAGGCTGGATTAACTGAAAAGGCACTAGAGATGCTGAGTAAATCAGAGCAGTTGGTGACTCCTCAGAAAAGAAAGCACGCTTATGAGGTTCTCATGTCATTCTATGGGGCTGCAGGTAAGAAAGAAGAGGTGTCCCGTCTCTGGAACTTGTACAAGGAGCTGGATGGGTTCTATAACACTGGATACATAAGCGTGATCAGTGCCCTCTTGAAGATGGATGACATTGAGGAGGTTGAGAGGATTATGGGAGAGTGGGAAGCTGGACACTCCCTTTTCGATATCCGGATCCCACACTTGTTAATAACGGGCTACTGCAAGAAGGGGATGATGGAGAAGGCAGAGGAAGTAGCAAAGATGTTGCTCGAGAAGTGGAGAGTGGAGGATACAGGCACATGGGAGCGTTTAGCTCTCGGATACAAGATGGCGGGTGAAATGGAGAAGGCAGTGGAGAAATGGAAGAGAGCAATTGAGGCGAGCCAGCCAGGGTGGAGACCACACCAGGTTGTGCTGATGAGCTGTGTAGACTATCTGGAGGGTCAAAGAGACATGGAGAGTTTGAGAAAGATTTTGAGACTGTTAAGCGAGCGAGGACACATTTCGTATGATCAACTACTGTACGATATGAACGGAGCTGGACTGAGTTGGAAGATAGTCGCTGCAATGGGAAAAAGTCGATACGTTGGTAAAGGAGAAGTAAGAATCTAGCCAGGGATACATTCCGTTTCATCTACAAGCAGTTTTTTGGGTTATGCTTATCTTGACTCTTAAGAATGATTTAAGTAATAGTAATAGATAAATGTGAACGAACTATATGGCAAAGAGAGTTGCAAAATTGATTCGTATGTTAGTCAGCAAGGACACAAATCCTAAGAAAAAGTTGATGCAATGGGCCAAAAGACATAAGACACATTCCAAAACAACAGTATTGACACCATTTGGATTACTACATTTTGGTTCCATCTGTTATAAACTTTTCATCTTAATTTCAGAAGAATCAGTTAACTAATGAGAAACGCCTAATAGATTACTGTTAAACTAGACTACAAACAGAGTTACAAATATTGTGATTCATATGTTAGTCTTCTCCACCAACGTATCCTCCACCTCTCATTGCCTCCACCATCTTCAGGCTCAATCGGTTTTTGTCCATTGCATGCAACACTTGCTCTCGCTTGTTCAGGAGTCTCAGAATGTCAGCTGTACTGTCTATGTCTCTCCGACCCTCAACATATTGCACGCAGGCATAAGCGGACAGAGCCATACTGCTCTTCGGGTTCCAGCTGTCGTGCAGCCTCCCCTCCAAGGCCTTTGCCACTCTCTTCCTCCTCTCGTCTTCTTTTTCATCTTCATCCAACACCATTTTAGCTACCTTGTGTGACAAACTCTCCCATTTGCTCTCCTTCTTCCCAAGCATGTTCACAACCTTCTCGGCCTCCTCTTTGGCACATCTCTTTTGGAAACCAAAGTCCTTGAGATCAAGATTGGGACACTCATCCCACTCTTCCAGAACCTCATCGAGATCCCCCGTCTTTGTAAATGCCCTGATGATGTCAGCACATATGGAATTGTCAAACGAAATCCCATATCCCTTAGCCAAGGTCCAGAGGCGGTAAACGTCATCTGTTTGATCCTCTCCACAGTAAGCAGTCATGAGACATCCAAAGATGCTTTCTCTGCAGCTATCATTAACCAACGGCTCTGTCCTACGAAGCAAGGCTAAACCCTTTTCCTTAGACCCTGCTTGCATGTAGATCAATCCTGGAAAGTAGAATGTGACCCATTTCACCTGAATCATATGCTCCCACTTGCTCAAAAACCTCTCCATTCCTTGTACGTCTTGCACGGATGCCAGCGAGTAGGAAACTAAGAGCGTCTCAAAGGAGAGTCCTTGGGGTGTAATCTTTTTGTTGTCCATCTCGCGCAGAAGGTTCACCACCATGTCGTGATTAGCAGCCTGGAGGTAGAGACAGATCATGGCGCTGTAAAGTCGAGTGTTGAGATCAGCAAAACCAAGGTCTCTCATCTTCTGAAAGATGATCTCGGCAATACTCAATGAGCCGTGTGTTATGCAGCAGTCGAAGAGAGCGGTGTGCAAGTAAAGATCCCTCTTTTCAACTGGAACAGTCTCAAAGAACATGGCCGCTTCTTCAACACCACGAACTTTAGCAATCAAGAGAAGTCGACCCTCAAAATCCATGGAACTCAGCTTGTACCCTTTTCGCTCAATCATCCAATCCGATACCTAACAAATTGGATCAAAGTTAACAACTTTACAGCTCCAATTTGCAAAAAAAAAACAAAAAAAAAAGGCTGTGTTTTTATGAAATCCCCAAACCTGGAGGGCTTGGGAGAAGCGATTGGATTTGTGAAGCGATGTGATGATGCTTCTGAGCTCTGGAAGTGGCGTTTGATTACCGCGTTGGCACCATTCACGGAGCAACGGAGTGATGGAGACTGACGAATCTTGAACTCGCTCGATCCGACGCCTAAGAGTGTCATTAATGAGCTCCGGCGAAGGTATGGTTCTAGGGGATCGAACGAAGGAGCGCCGGGAAGGAAGGTTCCAGAAGATATATCGGAATTGTTGCCGGAGAAGATGCTTCATGCTCAAGCCACAGAGTCACACAACAAAAAACCTAGGTTTTCGGCTCTCTGTCTCCGTCCACCAGAGTCGAGACGACTATACGACGGCACTTCATTTTTTCAAAAAACTTGTAAAATTAAAAAAATTTCCTTAACCGAAAAGGAAATAAAACAAAACTTCGAATTAAACAAACCCGGTTTGACTCTCCCAGTCATGAAATTGAGATTAATCCAGCATTTGCATAATTAAGGGAAGTAAAGTACATTGTTAGCAAAGAATTTGTATCACTCACACTAAACTTTAACTTATTGGTTTTAAGATTTTGGTCAGGAAATATTAAGACCAATCACATCAAACTAACTTTATAATTATAGTAATAGAAGAGGCCTCAGAATACATTCTTTTGTTGTAAAGAGTGTGATTTTATCATTGGGTTTCTCTCTCAGACGATGTTGGCAATTATATGAATCATCCATCATTGGCCTTCCTTAGCTTATTATGATCATAGCACACAATATAATAGCCATATACTCAGAGGTATAAATCAAACTATATGTTGTACTAGGCATATATATATACATGCACTAGATAAGTATATGGCTTTGTGAAGGATATGCAGATGATGATGATTAATTATAAAGATATATTCATAGCATAACCACCACTTTACTCATTTTGGTGAGTTGTCATCAAGAAAAAAATAATTATAAGACATCATACGACGAAAACACACAAGTGAGAATCATTTGCATAAATGTAAAGTTCAAATCAATGACAGAAACTCGACAAAAACACACACACACATGAACAGCAACCAAAGATTAATTATGTAGATGATGAGTTAGCTTAGCTAGCAGGAAAAGGCCAGGCGAGTTAGCTTAGCTATCAGGGAGAGGCCGAGTTAGGAAGAAGAAGAAGAAGAAGAAGAGAGAGAGATGTGTGTACACAAGCGATGTTTACGAGTATATCCAATAATATAGATGCATGAGAAAATCTCACTCTACGAATATCGATATTACAACATGAAGATGGCTTTTTATAGCTAAAACACTTTGAACAAGAGTTGTTAATCAGTAGTACATTGGTCAAGAACAAAAGTCATTGTCATTTACGGGCCAATGGAAGAGGGCATAGTATCATTCAAAAGGTGAGGAGTCGATTTTGGCGGCTTTGCTTGTTTGACACTTTGCTTGTTTGACAATCAAATTCTTGTAAATTGATAATTGAACTATTAGCTAGCTAACTAGAAACAACTAATAGCTTGGCCTTTTTATCATGACCTCATCACAGCACTGAAAAAAAGAGGTTCATGGGTGTATCAGAGGGAGACAGATCGATGACATGGACCATTTCATCTTATACACTACAAACAGCCTCCCTTGGAAAAATAATAATATCATTTGCTAACATTTATTTTCCAACTTAGTAGATAAGCTTTTAGCTTGGCCTCCAAGGCCAGTTTCACTATATGACAAAATGGAGACATGCACTCTCAATCATTGAGTCATTTAAGTCAAAGACGCAAAAGGTGTTGGTTTAAGCTTGACCGGATGACTTGAGAAGGAAGCTACCTAATCCTAAACCGAGATATGGTTTATTAGAGATAAGGATTATTAGGTTTTGGTGTTATCTAATAAGTGGTTTTCTAATAGGATTAGGAGTGTTTGCTTTCATATAAATACACATGTCGAGACATGACATAATGTATGAGTTTGAGAGATTGAAAGCTTTAGTTTTTGAGAGAGTTTTCTAAAGCTAATAAAGAAAGGTGTTCTTTATAATTTGAGTTCTTAAACACATCCTTGAATACTAGAAAAGGTCCCTTGCTCAAGGAAGTGTTGAGTCACGTTGGATTCCTCTCTTTTAGATTGGGCCTTGATCTCCTCAAGATTACATTGAACAGATTCACTGCTTCAGCCCTGGCTTCACCCTATTCGCATGGATGTTCGTTCAGACACTGTATCTTTTGAACATGATAAATTGAAAGTTTGACCACCTATTTGGGACGTATAAAATACAAAAATAATGGGCAAAATCTTCAGTAGTTCCAAGTTATGTGATCTGTCGTCTCCGCTAGTAAATGAATATGAGTAACCTATGCAGCCGACAATTTCAATACATCGGAGATGACATTTCAAGAAGTGTCCATGTTCTTGTTATACTTAAACATAACGATATAGCCCTTTCGGTTCTCTTACTAGCTTTGACGAATTTTAATATCTAGCACCACTCAGATTCTTAATTTGTTGAGTTTTTTACCAATTTTTTACCAAGCTAATTATTCAATATTTGAAGTGTAAAAGATTGCTTTGATATGCTTCTGCATCAATCAATCTTCACCTAGTTTGGTAGTCTCTTAGGTGAAAGTTGAAATTTAAACACATGTAAAATGGAAACATGACACATTCCCAAATTATATTCCACTAGAGAGATGAAAGGGTTGACGCTAATAAAGGCTTTACTTCTCAGTTCCTCTACATAACGTTAAACCAAAAGAGATGAACTAGTACCAACTCAAGAAGAACCAAGAAAGGCAGTTCCGTAGATGGTCGAAACCAAATCTATCTTTCTATAAGCAAAGATCCATTCTAAACAAATTTCTAAGACATAAAGAAGGTTCATGTATATCAATCACATGGAGCATATAACAACATCCCTAGACGGCTACACAACAACAACAACAACATAAGTCTCCCTAGGAAAATTAATAATAGTAGCAGAACACAATGAGGAGGCTTCAGAAGAGTATCATTCACTCACTTGTTCAAAGCCAAAAAAAGCTTTGATCAGGCAATGTAGGCAAAGATATGAAACATCATCACCAGCCACATCATCAATCATACTCAAAATATAATAATTCTCAAACAAAGACAAAACTATAAAGGCCTCAGAAACATTTTGTAAGAAGAGTTATATCATGGATTTACTCAAACAATGTAGGCAAACTTTTGAATCATCATAGGCCTTCTTCAACCAGTAAGATACTAAGATATGATCAAAAACTAAAAACGCCAATGGATCATATATCATTATCTAACCAAAACTCATAAAGATTAGTAACAAACAACACACAAACACACAAGAAAGAAAGGCTAAGCCTTTTGCAAAGCACAACAAAAGAGAAGAAGAAGAAGAAAGATTCACACATGATGCTACGAAAACAAAAGTGTAAATCTTTGAGAGATATATCTGAAAGCAGCTCTCTCCGCCACCAAAGTGTAGTTTCTTCTTCCTCAATTGAAACGTAAACCCTAGAAATCTCTATTTATAAATATGTAGCAAAATTTGTGATTTAGTGTTGGACCGAATCTCCAATTTGGGTAAAGGCCCATAAATCGGCCCATTAAAACTCAAACTGACGCTTTTGGAATTGGGTTTGTAATTCTCTTTTTTTTTTTTTTTAATATATTTTAACAGCTAATAAATTATATTTTCTTTGATATTTCAATTTTTTTCTTTTCTTTTGGTGTTCAAATTTTCAAAAATCTGGGTTCATACTTTTCATAGACTTATCTTAAAAAATTAAAGCTGAAATTTGAAGGAGAGGGTTTTCAATAATTAGATCTCATCATTACATAATTGAAGGAGAAAGGTCTAATAAAATATGTTAGTTAACATCATCATCCACAAATCTTGAAAAACAAAGTTAGAGGGGAAGAAAGAAAGATTTGATAAAAAAAAGAAAGAATGAAACACAAAAGACTTATCAATTTAAAAAGAACCCATCAAATCAATATATAAGAACAAGAACAAGAACAACAAAACTTAGAAAGAAAGAAAGAATGAAATCTAACGACGAAGGTTCTTGACTTTGGACCATCCTTTCTTACAAGATTTGCTGACAACTTTGATGCCTTTCTTGAACAGATGTTTCAGCTCCATCGCCCTCACCTTCACCTGTTCCTCGAATGCTCCCATCTTCCCTTCTTCTTCCTTTCTTGGATTCTCTCTTTCTCTCAAGAGGTGAGAGAGAGATTTAGATGTAACGGTGAGAAGAGAGGGGCTTTGCTTTTTATTAAAGTTTTGTTGTTTCTGCTCTCATCTCTCTCTCTCTCTCTCTTATATAAACATAACGGAGCTGTAAAAATGTTATTAATAGACTAATTACAACATTACACCTAAGCTAATAAGCTATCTCTTGCTGTTTTTTTTATGCTTTCCTAAATTTCTCTTTTCTAATTTTGTCATTGCTTTATTAATCTTTCTATGTTGAATTGAAAACTACTTGTAAATTCGTTTTTGCCAGTTAATCGAATCAATCTGTGTGCGTCCATCCAAAATTGTGTTTATACACGTGTCAGTCAAAGAACCGTTTGATGTTTGCGGTGAACATTACCAGCTGTGCAATCCTCATCATCAAGCACAGCAGGACAGGACAGGACCACCTCATTGGTCCTCTCCTCTCTCTCTCTCGTTCGTTTTCAAAACTTCTTCCTTTGGCCTTGACTTAGAGAACAACCACTTTTAATTACGTTTGAAAAGCTTTGATTCTTGTATATTACATGTCACAGTTTAAGACAGTTCTGATAAACATAAACTAGAACCTTCTTTGTTTGTTGTTTTAGTCAAAATACACTTTTGATTTAACTATAAAGTAATAAAGATTCTATCTTTAAAGCTTTTTGAGGAACAGATCAGCTTCTGCATACACACGGACACGGTTTATACGCTGTTTCGTCTTAACAAAGAGAGAGAAGATTCGTTTGGAACCATTTTGTTTTCCTTCTCTGCTACGTCATCCGAACGTGGATAAAAGAGTAACGTAAGGGACAAGTGTCAATGCATTATACAAGGAGTGGACGAGAACTGACGAGACTATGTTCCCCGACCAGCTGTAACATGTCCCCAGAACGCACCCTATCCCAAACAGCTGCACAAAATCCTCACCTGAGAAGTGTGCTGCTGCAAACACTCCTGAGCTGATCACTAGTGCCTTCCACCATTCCGTTTTCGACGCTAAGGAGGTTAGTAGGAAGCGTCTGTATACTGTCTCTTCCAAGATGGGAGCTAAGACGCAGTAGAGAGCAAAACACCCGCTTCTCGATACATCTCCTCCATTCACCATTATATTCTCCAATTCTGATCCGTGGACAGCCTGAGATCAAACACATTGCTTCTGCTATGTTAAAATGTTTATCATCTTAGCAGAGAATGGTAGAGATCAGGCCATTAGGGAGAGACCTTAGATCCATAGAGTTGATCAGCTACAAGAGACGTGATGAAAATAAAACCCACAAGACATCCCAAACCCAATGCTGAGCCAACCACCCAGTTTCTTGCTTCCCTCGAGTCGTTACCCTTTAGAAAGTCGATTGATTTGCATTGAGGCTTCGCTGTGATCTTCAGCAGTATGACTGTCCCTACAAGTTCTACCATTTGGAGAGCCACAAGTGATAACACCTGTACATTGTAGCCACACCATGAATCAACACCAAAAGTCAACAGCAGAATCAAAAAGCATACAGAAAAATAACAGAGACTAAATTGCAAACTGCACTATAATCTTCTATTCTTTGTAACCAAACAAGCATTTCAACATTCCACAATCATAAGCATATTGAACTTGGTTTCACCAATCTTAATTAGTAACCAAATGCATCTCAGAAAAGTGCAGATATATACTATTCTGCTATTTGCTCATCTCTAAACTCTAAAGTAAACACATTCTTCTGCTCTTTGCTTATCTCTACCACAACATCATCTCATCACTAGGTAGCCAATAATCATTCTTCTTGAACTAGTAAACGTAAGCCTTATAGACAAAAGGGAAAGAGACTCACTTGGGTCTGAGGATCAAGAACCTGCTGGTGGAGTATGTTGGCAACAATGGATAAACCCCCAAAACTGAGAGGAATATGCAGAGAGAACATGTAAAGAGCAAATGTGCTCCATATGTTATTATCTTCCCATGGAATCTCTGATGCCAAAACCGAGAACCCTTCTTCCTTCCCCAACTGTTCAATCTAAAAAGCACCGGACTTGGAATTAGAATTGCCGTCGAAACTAGTTATGAAAAAGAGAAACTTTATCCTAATCTGAAACAAGACATCTCATTTGATGACCCAATCAAAGGAAGGACTAAGGAGACGCACCTGCGTAGTTTCTTGTGGAGATTTGCTTTTGAGACAAGAGCATCTGAGAGATTGGCGACAAGTGGTTGTAGAGGAGAGACCACGAAACTCCGAATGTTGTCGGTCGGAAACCTTAACCACCGGCGTGTTTCTGCAACTGAAGAAAACCCATCGGCTTAGAATCATCGCCGTCTCTGAGTCTGACCAGAGAGTCTCCTCTTCTTCATAGAGAGCCAAGCCGCTTTCAAGTTACCATGGAGACCAATTCAATTCTGTGGTAATCCAAAAGAATTGTTTTCCTTTTTTTGGCATCTAAGTGTGATTTTTTTCTTTTCGTAGACAAAAAAAAAAGGCAAAAAAAAAAAAATGTTATTTTTCAGATTTTTGTGTAATAAAAATTACAACTTTACGATTTGCTGAATGATTAAAAAGGAGAAAGGGGAACATCTGGAGCAACAGGGATTCACAAATTTCTTCTCTTTTTGCGATTTCTCTTCTTCTTCGACCCAACCGACGAAGCGAATTTGTTGTCTGTGGTCTCTTCTTTGTCTAAGGTTTTGGGTGATTTATTAAGAAGATGGTGAGAATCGTGAGAAGTTGTTTACAGTCCATGTTGAAGCTCGTGAATTCCCTACTTGGGATGGTTGGGATCGCCATGATCCTCTACGCTGTTTGGCTAATTAGACAATGGCAAGAACAAATGGGAAATCTTCCTTTTGCTGATTCTGATCACCCTGTTCCATGGTATGGTTAAAGTTTCCATTTTTTTCTTATGTATCTGAGCAGTTTCTGGCTATTCGAGGGTTCGTAATCGTATGTTTTAAGATTCTGAGTGGTTTGAGAACGGTACAGAGCAATATTATAGGTAGGGATAAGATCTTAGATTCTGTAAGCTTGAGGTTTGTGGGAGCTGAAAGCTGTTAGGGAAGAGATCACTTTAGGACTCTTTTAAGATTTTCCTTTCAAATTTGATAGCACTTTGAAATGATTGACACATCTTGTTTGGGAGGAACTATCTTTTTCGTAGAAAGATCATAAATTCTGTTAGATATGAGTGGTTTGAGAATGGTACTGAGCAATATTCTAGGTAGGGGCAAGATCTTAGATTATGTAAGCTTGAGGTTTGTGGAAGCTGGAAGCTGTTAAAGGAGAGATCACTTTAGGACTCTTTTAAGATTTGCCTTTCAAATTTGATAGCACTGACACCTCTTGTTGGGGAGGAACTAGAAAGATCATAGATTCTGTAAGCTTGAGGTGTCTGGAGGCTGAAAGCTGTTAGGCTATGGAAGAGATATCTTAGGATTCTTGTAAGATTTGTCTTTCAAATTTGTTGGCACTGGAATTGAGTTACATATCTTGTTTCTGTGTGACGGGGAAGTTATAATTGTTGTTTATTAGTTATGAAGTTTGTCATTGCTGATGAAAATTGCTGAATCAAATCCCTTCTTTTGAGCTTCAGGTTCATTTATTCATTTCTCGGTCTCGGGGCCATTCTCTGTGTTGTTACTTGTGCCGGGCACATAGCTGCTGAAACTGTGAATGGATGTTGCCTTTACTTGGTAAACTTCTTTTGTATTATAAAAGCTTTTCCTGCAACTCTATTGACAAACTGTATCATATACATTTAACCTGTTCTCGTTTGGTAGTTTCGTCATTCATTCCTGAATCCGTTCTTGTGTTTCTTTTTATGTATATAATGCATCTGTCTATTGCCACTTCTACTGGGTTCAGTATATGGGATTCATCGTCTTGCTAGTTATGGTTGAGGGCGGTGTGGTTGCCGATATCTTTCTAAACCGTGACTGGAAGGAGGTATATTCTCTCTCTCTCTCTTTTCTTAAAAATCTTGAGAGGCTCTCTATTGTCACGCCCATGTTTCTAATCTGTTCGAAGCTTTCACCAGGACTTTCCTGAGGATCCAAGTGGAGCTTTCCACCATTTCTCTAAATTCATTGAGTCGAACTTCAAGATTTGCAAGTGGATAGGTCTCGCTATTGTCTGTATCCAGGTATCTTAACTGTTAGCAACAAGATTCTACTTTACGGTGCTTCTAAATTGCTTGATTTCCACAGCGTTTTCTTTGTTTATCTACAGGCTCTATCAGTTTTATTGGCAATGTTGCTCAAAGCTCTTGGACCTCACCCTCACCGTCATTACGACAGTGATGATGAATACAATGTAAGCACAGTTGCACTCCTGCAGGATGCTCGTCAGCCGCCTCCATACGTTGTTGGAGAACCCATGTATGGAGCCAAACCGGGAGCTTGGACTGTTAGGATTAATGAAAGGGCAAACCGGTGAGAGGTGTAAACAAAGAAGCTCTGAAAAGAAGATGGGCAAAAGAATCTGCTCTTTCCATGTGCTCATTTACTTTGGCTTCTTGTTTCTTTCACTATTATCTCTTGTAAATCCTGTATTCACATATACATATTGGAGATATTGTTCCTACATGGCTACATTATAAAAATTATGTGATGAATGTAAATCTCTCTCCACTCCTTAGGTTTAAGCATCATTTCAAATATTGTTGTGATGAATTAGATCTTCACTAAGCAAATATAAGAAACAAAAACCAATAATACATGTTCTCTGGGTCACTTTCATTTTGTTAAACCCTTTAAAATGATTACCTTTGATGCACAAGAATGGTCTAACTAAGCTTACACGAACAAGACCAGATTCCAAAGACCAGATTCAACTTAGTAAAGACAAGCCAATACCTTAACATAGAAGAAACAATCCAAAGCAGAGTCATAACATAAAACCAGAAAACTTAGATAGAAAATTCCAAAGAAAACAATAAAAACAAAATCCAAAGTTGCAAATAAAAGGAGACATTTTGCAGCCACTGACTAGTTTTCTTCAGCGATCAGAGAAGCCACTTCATACAAAAGCTCTGTCTTTTGCGACACAAGTCCAAGTTCCTTGGTTTGCAAGACTCTCAGTTTATCTTCAACCATCTTCTTCTTCTCTGTGTCCACAGAACTCCATCTTCTTTTCAGAGAATCTTCATCCACGCCAAAACTTGCAACTTGTCGAAACAAAAACGAGTTGTTGAACCAATCTTGAATTTGTTCAAGAATCACCACATCTTTGCCTTCTTCTTCTTCTGGTCTCTTTATCATCTCATTCTTCCTTGACTCCTCAGCATCATCCGAACCCCAAATCATTTCAGACAGTTCAAAAGATTTCAGATTATGAGCTTCCGGTTTTTTACCCTTCTTCCGTTTATTCATAAACTTCCTCTTCACTGTCTTAATTTTCTCTATGCACTGAGACAAACTAACCTCAACGCTGATGGAATCCTTTATGAATTCATAGAACCCACTCTTGTCTTCGGTCGCTTTCTTCCCTGTTTTGGATTTGAAATCAACGATTCCTTGCAACACACGGATCTCGTCTTCCTCACTCCAAAGTCTTTGATTATTTGGCTTCTTCACATCTTTTTTGGCTCGTTTTGCGGCGCTCACATCTTTGGTTGAAGTCTCTTCTTCACTTGCCCGCTTCTTAGCCTCGCCGGAAACACAAACTTGTTTCTTCTTGGCCTTCTTGGTCTTCTTGGTTTTGGCCTCAGCAACAAGACTAGCAGCTGAAACAGTCTTCTTCTTCTTATCTTCTTTCTCAGACGAAGCCTTTGTCGTCTTTGCGGTGGCTGTAGCAACATCAGAAGCGGAAGGAGATTGTGGTTTCTCGTGCATGGTGAGTTCAACTTCTTCCTCAAAAGAAACGGAGTCGGAACTTGAAGGTTCCCATGGTCTGAGTCTGAGATGCTTAGTCGTCATTGGAAATGAAAACTATCTCAAAGATTCTTAGTGGTATATATGTATATGAATGAGATGAGAGAAATGGCAGAGATTTATTAAATACACACCAAAAAAAAAGCATATGACGACGATTCGTTTGCTTACCTAATGGAAATGTGAATATTTATGAAAATCTAATATTTACTTTTCTCGTTTTTGCTTTTTATTAGGGTCTCTTGATTTTGGCAAGAAGAGTTAAATGGTTTCATCATCATTATAGTCTCTACTACACACAACGTATGGAATGGTTTACAAATTTTTAAACAGCTGTATATTCATTCCTTGTTCAATTCAGAGAAATATACAGTTACCATAATAATATACAATTACTGAAAAGACATATATTACCAAAAAGATATCCAGAAGGTTATGTAAATTTTCAAAACGTATAAAGAAATTGGATATACTTTTACGCAAGTTCTACTTTTTTAACAAGTTTTGTCATTTCCAATGGAATAGTTAAGTTCTACGCTGCATGGAATCGCCGGAGTTGTGTCGATTCCCGCTTCGGAACTTAACTTAAGTTACATGCATGTGATTTGAAAACGCATCTTTAAAACATAAAGGAAGACAATAACTAAGCACACGAGAGTAATTGATCCAATTGTTTAGTGTGGACATAGATATGTATTGATGATGTTTTTTTCATTTTTTCATATGAATTTACGTTAGTACTCACTATATTACTGCTTTATATCTGCTTTTCCATTCAAACCCTCAGTTATGCCGGAAAAGTGTGCGAGAATCGAGTTAACCAAAACAAATGGTTATGTCGAATTGAAAATGTGCTAATCACATGTGCCCTCCTTCTCTCTGGGTATCGATCATATGACTAACACAAGAAGGTCTCTTTCATTTGTCAAAAGCCTTTAAAATCTTTTGTTATATTACTATTTACTATGATCATTAGTTCTTAACGTTTTGTTACATGCACAAGAATGGTCTTTTAACCTAAACCTCTGGTGAAACAAACACTTCAATGTTATTCTTATCAACCAAAAGATTATAGTAAAACCCAATACTGCAGTTTCACATTTAACCATAGCTAGTCAAATTCCCAAGAATCATATTTAACCAAGATATAGAGATAAACTATGCATTAATCCAAAATAAAGTCATCATAAGATGAAACATAGAAACTTAGATGGAAAAAATCCAAAAACAAAAAGATAACCAGAAGAAGCAAATCCAAAATAAGTCATCAAAACATAAAACATCTGAAATCAGAAGATAACCAAAACAAGCAAATCCAAAAGTTGCAAAACGACACAAATTTAAAAAGAGACATTACATAAAACGGGATGATGATGATGATGATGCTCCACGGATAATAGAAACCAACTCCTTCAAAAACTTACTCTTTTGTGACAAAGATTCATTTTCCTTGGCTCGCAAGACACTCCACTTCTGATCCATATGACTCTTCTTCTCCACTGGTACCGCATCCCATTTGCTCTTCAGAATATCTTCATCAACACCACCACGACTTACAACTTCTCGAACCAAAGACGCATCCTCAAACCATTTTTCTCCTTCACGAACCATCACTGCTTCTTGCTTCTCTTCTTTAGGCTTTGCAATCCCCTTACCCTTCTTTGGTTTCTCAACGACATGCTCCACATCATCTTCCCGAACCAATGTCATCAACTTAGAACCTTTATGGTCGTAACGTTCCGAGGAAGACCGTTCTTCTCTCTTCCTCGTGTGATACATCAATTTTTCCTTCAAACTCATCATCTTCTCTACAAATTCTTGGCTGTAAGACTCGAAGACTATATAATCCTTGAGGAACTCGTAAGTTTCCAGCATATCATCAAAAGCATTCTTCTTCTTTACATCTTCAAAATCCATCAAACCTTGTAGCATAGAGATCTGAGCTTTTTCATTCCACTTCAACCTTTCAGAACATACCTTTTTCCCAACCTTCTTTGATCGTTTGGCATTCACATTTTTGTTCACCAACAACGTCCCTTTGCTCTTCTCCTTGGACTCGTTCGTATTCACTTTGCCCATTATCAAAAAACGTTTCTGAGAGAGTGAGAGAAATATTTGGTAGCGACGCTATTTTTAAACCCACAAAGTCACTCGATTTGTTTACTCTTTCATTTGTTGGAAAATGTGTATATTGCATGCCTTTCATTATTCTTTTGTGGTTTTTTATGCTTTCTCTGTGGTATTTAATTTTTTTTAATTTTGGTAAGAAAAACAATTATACACTGACGTGAATATTGTATAATTGATCACAATTAAGTAAAGATAAAAAAAATTATTCTTAGATAGATATTAGTTCAAATAATCAGATAATTTCTCTTTTAGTGTTTGAAATATTTATCAAAAATGAAAAATCAGATATTGTCTCTTTTTAGTGTTTGAAATATTCCAGTAAGCTATATATTTCTTTTCCTATAGTTAAAGATAGTCTTGACTCTTGAGTGTAGATTGATCTAATAAGTCTGAAATATTAATAGCTCTCGTTAGTGATAAAATAAGCTTGATTTTGCTTTTATAGGTTTCTAATAGCATCTCCAACCCACCTCTATTTCTTCCTCTAAACTCTATTTTATAGCAAATTTTGCTCCAACCCACCTCTATATTCACCTCTATTATAGAGATTGCTATTTTTATCTCTATATATAGAGGAACTCTATTTTTTCCTCTATAAATAGAGGTGAACTATTTTCTTACAAAATAGTCCTTTTAATCTCAAACTTCTTTTATTTATGACCAAAATAAATAAAATAAATATATTTAATAACTAATAATAATATAAAATATTTTAAATGTTTCAATATAAATATATATTCTAAAATTTGAGACTACCATTTGCAAAAGTTAATATATATAAATAATAGATTTTATTTTTAATATTCTAAAATTGATTTTATTTTTTCATTTATTCCATAATAATACTTTTAATACCAAAAAAATTACTTAATATTCTCCTAAATTACTTTAATACTTTTGATTTGAAAGGACCAGTACGTTTTTGGAAAAAAATGTGTTACATGACATAATAACTACATGTATAATTTTACATAATATGATAATTGAGGATGAGCG